GGGGAGGGAGAGAGAGTATTATTGCTTTTTTAAGATAGTTAGAGATGGACTACAAGGTGTTGGTGACCCCTCTTTTATAGAAAAAGGGGCGCCCCAAACTTAGTACGGAATACATAGTACAAAAAGAATGAGATGTGACAACCCATTTCTCTTATGTCGCATGAGGATTGGCATTGAGCTATTTGGATAAGGTTGGCGGGCCCCGATGCATTCTTTCAGGGGAGGGTATCTTCGCTCATTCTTCGTTCATCAGGACCTTGGCCGACGCCCGATCCGAGCGAGGCGTCGATAAATCTCGAGGGAAGTGGCCGAATCGAGATCCTGTGACTTCGGGACTTACTCTTCGAAGCATTATGCCGAGGAAAATCGGTCCCCCGATTTTGCCCGCGTACAAACGAGTTTCTAAAATCTTTTCCAGAGGTGTATCAATATCCATTAATCAATGAAGAAATAAATCTTCAAAAATGGAACTTATTTTTGCATTTAGTTAAATAATCTCCTTATGGTAATGTCATTGCATTAGTTCACACTTTTCCCTCCACAAAAGGTAAGAAGATAAAAACATAGAAGTATTAGACAATATTTAATACTCCTACACAAGAAGAATTAATCTCCTCTATGGATATTATTACCAAAAATAATTGAAAACAATTCTAATCCTAATAAGTATAAAATCTTCTTGATAGTAGCTTAGGCAAGAGCAGATAGAAAAATTCAACCTCAAGAGCAATGGTGAATCAAGTAATTGGTGGTCTTTTTTATACTATTTAAATTTACTTTAATTTGATATTCTGAAATTTTATGAATGTTTGGTTCCATATTAAATGCTCTTTTTCTGTTTTTTTTTTCTTACCTTTTTACACTCTTCACTACCCATATATCGACATTCATTCTTCTAGATGACATTTACTAGCTAGAATAAGTCATCGACTAGAAAAATAGTTAGCAATTTATTTATTTGAAATAAATCATCTTCCTATATATATATACGACACATCTCTGAGTAAACTTTCTTTTTTATGATGTAGAAAATGATAATGAATCGAAAGATTATACAACAACTTTTGTTGGTTCTCTTTCTATGCTTGAGTTATGATGGGGTTCGAGGAACAAAGTTATCCGACGAACAAGAAGATCTGGAGTTGGAGATGCAACTAAAACGTCTAAATAAGCCTACAATTAAAACGATTAAGGTACGTGTCTCAATATACAGTTAAATTGCCATAATTGTTTTTTTGTAACTTGTTTTAGTGATTACATTTCTATTTTATTAATTAATTTTACCTTTTCTCTTCTTTTTTTTTTTTCGGTTTTTAAGTTCTCCCGTTCTTTATTCAGTGTGTGCAGTTTTGAGATATTATTAATTACCTGTCTTGGAGATAATTGTTTCGTTTCTCAAATGCCTTTTCATTAAAATCTACATTCATTTCATACGCCCACTTTTTTAATTATACACTGCTAATTAATTATACTCTTTGCCTCTTTGATATAATGAAATCATTAATATTTTAATTTTTTCATTAATAGACTGAATACGGCGATATATATGATTGTGTGGACTTTTACAAGCAACCTGCATTTGATCATCCATTATTGAAAAATCACAATTACCATCCTCAGGTTTGCCTCCAATATAATCAATTTTTATTTTTAGTTTTGAAAATAAGTGATGATTATAAAAAGAAATTTTGGATGAGCAGATGATCAAACCATCATTGTTTGTGAAAGAGAGCGATTCAACTATGTCGACAAGTAATAAGTTGCCAGGAATAAATTTAGCAGATGGAGGTTGTCCTGTTGGAACTGTTCCTATTCGAAGAACAACGAAAGAAGATCTTATTAGACATAAACTTTTGCCCCCACCAGAAGATATAATGATCGACAGTCCACTTACTCATGTAAGATTATGTTATTTTCAATTGACAAAATTGGTTCCAATACAATTCATATTTCACTATATTTTATTGCTAGTTATAACTTATAAACAAAACATGCCAAAGATTCATTTGCTATCACAATTTAAATTCAGCTTTTTAATATAATATATCTTATATTCTTACCTTACTTTTGCACAGAGGGAAAACTCCATTGATTCGAAAAAAAGAAGATACAAACCTTTGCAAGGGTACAAGGTAAATATCATGATTAATTATCATATTTATTTAAATTATGTTTAAATTATTCCTAGCTCTTCGTGAAGAATTTTCAAATTTTACTCCCTTCAGCTTGCAATCATTCATACAGATGACAATCCAAATAACAAATTTGGAGGAGGCGCGATGACAACTAGTGTCTATAATCCTCATGTCGAAGATCAACAACATAGTGCATGTCGTTTAAAAATAATTAAAGGATCAAATATTATACAAGTTGGTTGGAGAGTAAGTTAAATGAGACTCTTCACAGGGAATTACTTCTTTTCCTATCCACATATTTAAACAAAGAAAGAGAGCTATAATTAACATTATTTCTTTTCTACTTTAGGTTGACCCAACCTTGTACGGTGACAACGCGACTAGGTTATACATACATTTCCAGGCAAGTTCCTAACTAGTATGATTAGTTAGCTTTTTATATATATATTTCATACTTTGTTCGGAAAATGCCTAAAAATACCATTCAACTTTCAGAAATGGTCTATCCATGCCATCCGTTAAAAAAATGCTCATTCATGCCACTGTCGTTACACATTTGGCCCATCCATACAATGAAATGAGCATTTTTTTTAACGTATGACATGGATAGACTATTTCTAAAAGTTGAGTGGCATTTTTAGGTATTTTCTGTAATTTCTTTTGCTCCCTCAAACTTTTCTTTTCATACTTTCAGAATGGTACAAATGCTTGTTTCAACTTGTTATGTCCTGCCTTTGTACTTGTAAACCGAGAAGTAGTTATAGATGGAGCACTTAATCCCGTTTCACAACGTGGAGAGAAAATATTTGAGATGAGACTTTCAATAAATTGGGTAAGTTTTTTTTTTTATTTTTTATCAAAGCATAAAGCAATATCGATTTTTATTAGCTAACCATTTTTTATTTTTGAAAATAGGACCAAAATAAAGGAAATTGGTGGTTGTTCAGCACAAACACTAATATACCAATTGGTTTTTGGCCTCGTGAGGTGTTTGATGACTTTGACTATTTTGCAACAAGAGTTGAATGGGGTGGAGTCGTATATAGTCCACCAGGAATACGTGAACCTTCCATGGGTTCAGGATTTTCTCCCATTAGAGACACTTTATATGACGCATTTTGCAGAAATATTACACTTTTAAGTGATAAGGGTGACAATATTAATGTAGGTCAATTGCCAATATATGCAAACAGCCCTAATTTATACAATGCTATAGATATTCCTAATGGTGGGGATTATTTCAAACATGTGATGGTTTATGGTGGACCTGTGTGAGAAACGTGAATGATAACCAAACATTATATTGTAAACTTAACGGCACGTCATTTAATATTGTAATAACATGCTCTAGAGTTGATATGAGTGTTACTGCAGTGGCGAAGCCAGAAATGTCTCCAAGGGCGTTCAAACTTGAAAGAAGAAAAAAAAAATCCCGAGAAAGGGTATTCAATATATATTATATATTTCTAAAATCTAATAATTTATCTATATATACAGTTAATTTTTTGACAAAGGGTAGTCAATTGACCACCCTTAGAAGAGCATAGTTTCGCCCCTGATTGTTAGAGTAGGATCTATTGTTCATCAAAATTGTTTGGGTCGTAAATTAACAGTGCTAAACAATTCTATCTACTGCAAAAGCCACTTTCGTTTCAATTTAATAAATACATGGTTGAAACTGTAACTATTTTTCAATTATCACTTGTTGGTTAATTTTGAATTTCATGCCACTATCTTTGGGCCCATTCGTAGTGTCTTGGGGAATTTAATTTGAAGCACATAAGGGAATTCAGACTTCACATTTTTTGAAGAAAAAATAAACAAATAGTTCATTATCAGACTTCTCATCACTATTTAACCATTGTTTTAAAATTATTCAAAGTTTTACCGTTTTAATACGAAAATAAAGTTTTGAAGAAAAAAAATTTTCTAATCTCACACGGAAAACTCCAGGAAGTTTTACGAAATTTGAACACCTAGAATTCATACTCCAGAAAATATTCATAGAGTTTAAATATTTATTAGTTTGAGATGGAGATAGTTCAAGATACTTCAAACTTTAAGACAGTGTCATGGAGTTTCGCTTCTATAAAAAAAATAAAAGAAGATAAATGTTTGTAATTTAGAGGGTAAAATAGGTATTTGACAATCCAAAATTTGAAAAAACTAGTTGAGTGACTTTTTGAGTGCAATAGGCATAGTTCAGTGACTTTATTGTTACAAACGAAAGAAAAGTGACTTTAGGAGATAATTTGTGATAGTTGAGTGACCATTTGAATAATTGGCTCTTTAAAGTTTCATAATTACGGTAATTTCATGAATGGTGCCTGGAAAATAATAGGATAATTTCAGGGGTACCACAGAAAATAATGGGTTAATTTAACTAATTAATATTTAAAAGTTTCCAATTCTATAACAGTGTCTTGATATTCGAAAAACTCATTGATGAGTTCTAAACTTGGCTTCATGAACTTTTCTTTTCTAGAGGCCAATCAATATCCATTCAATAAAGAAATAATTCTTCAAAAATGGAACTATTTTTTCATTTTAGTTAAATAATCTCCTTATGGCAATTAACCTCATTGCATTTGTTCACACTTTTCCCTCCACAAAAGGTAAGAGTATAAGAACATACAAGTATTAGGCGATCTTAATTTAATACCTCTAATTTAGGCAATCTTAATTTCGATTAATTTGTTTAATAATTGAAAACACTTCAAATCCCAATAAGTATAAAATTTTCGTGATAGTCGCTAGAAATATTCAACCTCAAGAATATTGGTGAATCAAGTAAGAGGTGGTTTTTTTTTTTTCATACTATTTTAATTTTAATTTACTAATTTAGTTTGATATATATGAAATTTTATGAATGATTGGGCTCTATGTTAGATGTTCATTTTCTTTTTTCTTATTTTTCTACACTACTCTTCACTATCCACGTATCGACGTTCATACTAGCTAGGGAATGCCCTTAAAGTTTTAATTCATTAAGCAATTTATGCATATGAAAGAAATCATATCCTTCATATACACATCTAATAGTGAACCTTCTTTTTATGATGTAGAAAATGATAATAAATCGAAGAATTATTGAACAATTTTTGTTTATGTTCTATCTATGCTTGAGTTATGACGGGGTTCGAGAATGATAATAAATCGAAGAATTACTAAAAAAGATCTTATTAGACATAAACTTATGCCACCAGCAGAAGATGTCATGGTCGATAGTCCACTTACTCATGTAAGATTATGTTGTTTTCACTTGATAAAGTATGTTCTACTAATCATATTTGGGGTATTATCATTTTTAGCCCACGCTAGAAACTATTTACAATTGGTAGCCGAAAAAGTGTATAAAACCTGTATAATTTTGATATATAATAACATATAGAATGTGTGTGTGTGTGTGTGTATATATATATATATATAAATTTTATACATTTTTTCGACTATTATTTTTACAGCAACTATACAGTATCATTTTTGCATCGTAGATATTTCACTATATTATCATTAGGGGCAGATATAGGCATGACTATACGGTCAAAATCCTAGATTCGTCTTTGATTGCCGTTAAAAATTTACAATTTATAAACACAACATCGAAAGATTTGTTGCCCCTATCACACACAAAATTAAATTTAACTTTCCAATATAACATCTTGTATAATATTAATTTTACTTTTGCACAGAGGGACAACTCCATTGGTTCAAAAAGAAGAAGATATAAACCTTTGCAAGGGTACAAGGTACGTAATCATACTTATTCAGATTAATTATTTTGTTTTATTTTATAATTATTTTTGCATTTTAGTTTTGAGAGGGACATCTCACGTGTGTGTGGAATTTTCTAAATCATATAGTTGTTTATTCTCTTCAGATTGCGACTGTTCATACTGATGACGATAATCCAAATAACAAATTTGGAGGAGCTTCCATGGCAGCCGCTGTATATAATCCTCATGTCGAAGGTCAACAACATAGTGCATGTCGATTAAAAATTATTAAAGGATCAAATATTCTACAAGTTGGTTGGAGAGTAAGTTAAATCAATTATGTACATTTTATCCTGTAAGCATAAACATATTTTCATGTATTTAAATTGATAAATTTAACATTAATTCATATGATGCCTCAATCACCTTCAAAAAGAATTAAGAAATATGAACTGTATACTAGTGGTAGGTTAGGAGGTTGTCGAGCATTTCTCTACTTCGTACCTGGGGTGAGGCTAGTTTGATAGGGTTGGTCTTAGACGGCTAGTGGTTAATGTTGTGTTCACACTATCCTTCCATTTACTGGTTATTGTTATTGCATTTCATCTATTTTCTAGTTATTATGATGTTATAATTTCTATAATTTCTGTTAATGGTACTGATATATTGTCTCTTCTCGTCTTTTCCATCTTCTTGAGCCGATAGTCTATCGGAAACCGTCTCTCTACTCTATCGGGGTAGGAGTAAGGTCTGCGTACACACTACCCTCCCCAAACCTCACTTGTGGAATTTTACTGTGTTGTTGTTGTTGTTTGTTGTTGAACTTTTTACCTGTAAAATACAAGGTAATAACTCGTAAAGTGAGTTAATTACAACTCAATTCTCACATATCTATCCTTTTTCTTTGCCTCAGGTTGACCCAACTCTGTATGGCGATAATAATACTAGGTTATACATACATTTCGACGTAAGTCTCCAATTATA